GTAAGTAGAGAGATTCACGCCAAAGCTATAATTCATTATGAAGCAACATATTGTCGTACAACCAACATGTGTTGGTGCGAAATCCTCGAGAGTCAGATCCCCTGTTATATAATTGCAATAAAGACATATCATCATCGCGTAGATTCAATAATTGGTAGAACAAACTAGAGAGCTACCAGAGTACACGACAATTTGTAAACATGCTGACCTTGAGACATACCACTGTTGCCACAGCTCCGACCGCATTTGCCCAATAAGATCTCACTCATGAAGACAGACCGCGACACATCATTATTAGAGAGGAACCCACATTGTATGGCACTCTCGCGCCGGAAGACAGGGGACACCCCACACCTGTGGACACTTCCGCGCGCCACCAAAAGGGCCCCCGCTCACCCCCACACGAAGAGTAATTAACCACTAAGAGAGCGCCACTTCCTAGAACATTCGTAAAGAGAGAAAAGTGGACCACAAAGACTAACTCTGCCCCACCCCCTTCTATCCGACTGCTGCCAACCGATCGCTCGGCGCTGACAAACTGGGTGCCCCATTTGAAGAAAGTGGAGCTATCCAGCTGCAGTTGGGATGCTGCTTTATCATTGCATCCAACACTCGCCCAGACATCACTTTAGTGTACATCAGGTAGCACGATTCAGCCACAACCCCAGGCATTCCCATGCTCAAGCCATCAAACGATCATCGGTATCTGATTGGCACAAGTAACAAAGGCATTTGTTTTAGCCCTAGCTTGATCAAGGACTTGAATGTTGGGTGGATGCTGACTTCGCAGGGTTGTATGGATATAGGATGACAGGATCCTGTCTCGTAAGTCTCGCACTGGTTTTGTCTTGACTTTGTTGGGATGCCCTGTCATTTGGTCCAGCAAACGCAGACTGACATTACTCTGAGCTCCACTGCTGCGAATATGTTGCCTTCAGCATGTCATGAGGGAGCTGCTTCCTATGTGAGCCTGCTCAAGGAAATTGGTAACAAACTGCATATGCCCGTAATTACTGACAGTCTCGTGGTCTACAGTATTCGAAGACAACCAAGGTTGCCTGTCTCTTGTGATTGTTCCCAAGATGTCAGCCCGCAACAAGTATTTGGCATTGAAGTACCACTTCTTTAGGTCGAATATCGGGGAGTCGAAGGCATCGTGGCCAAGTACATTCCGACTCTAGAACAACGGGCCGACATCTTCACTAAGGGTCTGCCAGCTCCACAGTTTGCAGTCATTCGGAAGCTCCTCATGGGATGGTAATCTACCTCAGCACGTTGCTGGGACTCTCTCCTATTGTTTTCTTGCTACAGCTTCATTTCAGCGTAAGGGAGTGCGACGGGATACACTTACAATTAGCTTTACAGCTTTAAAATTGCGGGCCTATTCTAGAAAATAATCAATAACTGCTCACTTATAATTTGGAAATACAAACTTTACATCTCTTAGATCGTTAGATTAATCAATCCACAATGGTATTGTCGCACAATGTGCATGGTTCCGACAAGATAGGAAAGACTGCATCCGGTCTGCAACCTTTGGTCTATGAGCAGCTTCTCTTTTTGGATCTGAATCTCCTTGTCGAGTTCCACGCTGCTTACCTCTGCCCTCACTTTGACTGGATGCAGAGCACAACAGACCTGTCCAACTTGGCTGGATTCCAGACCCACAACAATGTGGCGCGGTACTTCTTGATAGTGGAAGACCTTTACGGCGATGAGGGATTGGGCTCTCACCACGCATCCTGGCTTCTCAGGTTTTCGTGCATCCATCAATGGCTTAGTTGACAGTGAGAAGCAGGAACAACGAAAGAAGATTACAGACTTTCTGAAGAACAGCCTCTCGCTTGCACACAAACACTTCTCTCGATCGTGCAACAAGACACTACTTCCAGCCGGACTACTAGCAGAGGAACCATTGGCGACTGTCATTGCAAATGTAATGGTCGACAACCACACAACTGTCTTTCAACTCTTCCAATCGGATGTCCACGGCAGAATGTTCCCTATGGCCAAGTTCTATTCCTTGGTGAAAGAAGCAGTTGAAGCAACCACCATTGTCTATACTACACACAACTACCCACCATTGTCTCTCCATGCAGCCGAGTTGCTTCTGACTGGATTGGACTACAGAAACGATGACATGGGGAATGCTGTGAAACAATACGTCCAAACTACTTATCTGCCACTTGCTTCCCACACACAGTTTGTTGAAGCAGGCGTCAAGGAAGCAAAGAATTGTTCTTCAACTGACTGATCAGAGACACTGAGAAGTGCTTATGCAATCAACCGATCAGCCAATGTCCATTCCATTGGCAATCTAAGGGATCTGACTTCCAATGATAGAATTCGCAAATTGTTGAAGAGTGCAGAGACGCACGACCTGACCATCAAGGAAGCAACCAAGGCCTTGCCACCTAATGCATACAAGGAAGCAATCCGTCTGCTGGAACGGACACTCAAGGAAGAACACTTCCACAAGGAAAGAGTTGCCAAGCTTCAGCAGCATGTTTGGGACAATGCCGGCAAGAACCGAAAGAAAACCAGCGGCAAAGGGACACTGGCGTTGACAACACATTGGCGGTTCAGAACAAGATCAAGTTATCGGACCTCCGGTCCAAGGAGAATGCTCAAGATCTCCTTGTCGAATTGGTCTTCAGACTTGGCTCAGACCACACAGAATAGATCAAGGCGATGAACTTCCTCAATAGAAGAAAGATATTGAAAGAGGTGGAGTATGAGCGCATCAAATTACTGGCAAACAGTGAAGATTGGCCAGAGAAGGAGCGAAAGCGGCACTTGCTGTGGCAGAAAAGGGCTTCAAAAGACTGTCTTCTGCTCCCTTTGTGTTGAAACAAACATAAGAGATCCTTCTGTTGGTACCAAAAGGAATTCTTTACCCAATCTCTTATGGCAAGGAGCCAATGTGGCTTCCACAACAGCAGGAATTCCTCATTTTCGGTGAGTGCCACAAACCTCATTCTGCGACTTCAACTGCTTGTATCTCTTCTTTTCACTGCTAACACATTGAATGTTTTTCAGGGCGAATGATCCTAAGTGGGTATACAAGGCCTAGCCAGGTAGTAGGCATCTCCATGGTATCATCGTCATAGCAAACTGTTACCATCTTCACTGTCGTGGCATGTTGATTGCTCTGTTGTTGAGGCTCTCAAAATGGGTGACCCTCGGCCGTTGTTTTTTCTTGGTGTCAGAAGATTGTACCAGACCTACGCGCGCAGCGCGTAGAAGATTTCTGAGTACCAGAAAATTGCTGATCCTACGGGACCTGGGGGTCATAGAATCTGTCCATGCAGGATTGAACAGGGCGGGGAGTTTTGCGCTCAGGCGGTTGAATGTGGCGACAAATAGGTTGTCCTGGTCACACGCTCGAGTATGTGATATCGGAACAAGCTGACACATCGTCGTCTTGTTCGTCGCTGACAATTCGAAGCTCGGAAAAAGCCGTCTTAATGTCGGTTGATCCTTCAGGCGACTGCAAAGTAAACAAGGGTTCCTCGGACTCTTCTGACGACAAAGACATGCAAGCTGGAAGCAATTTACACGTTTTCGAGTAATGGTGGGCAGAAAGGTTCACAGCAGCTTTGATCAACAGCAGAAGTGGGTCTGAGATGTACTTCCTTGCCTCCTCATCCGTATACAGATCACCAAATTTGACCTTGTAAAGCTTAGGATTTTCTTGGTCGCCAAGCTTGTAAGATGGCACATAAACTTTGCCAAATTCTTTAATTTTCGTTGTCATCCTTTCATCATGCTCATTCTCTTTTGGGATTCACCTGAACCATCACCAGCATTGTCATAAAAATCCGAGTTGACTAGCAGCGAATCAGCAAGAATCTTCGTAGCCGTGGAAAGGAGTTGTGTGGCGCGCTGAACGTCTTCGCAACTAGCCATCTCCACATGGTTTTCGTCCCCAAGAATCCCGACTTGCCTGTAAGATTCAATGGAGTCGCAAACAATGAGCATCTCATAGGGTTGTTTGTAATTCCACTGTCCCACTCCTTCGAATGATTCAAATAGTGGGATGGCGAGAATGTTTCCGTACTCAAGATCATCAAAAAAATGGTAGTGCTCCATACCAAAAACGAGCTTGTTGGTATGAGTTCGTGCTGCCCATTCCAAGGCTTTTGCCGGGGTACCAGTCGCGTCCGCAGTGTTCCCCAGGACCATATGAAGCTCTGGTAGCCAAAACTCGTTGCAAACTGGGTCGTTTGGAAGCAAGTGAGCTTTGGACTTGTTGGTCTCGCAAATCTTACGCCCTCGAATAGTTTTCAAGTGCTTCTTGCTGTGATTTTTTGTACCAGCGTTGTCTCCCCGTCCGGGAACGATTTCGTTGTCTGTCGAACTCGTGCTAACACTCGCGGCGTCAGGGTCTGTGGCATCATAGACGCTTCCCTCTTTAGGTTTTCAAGCACAGCTTCTTCCCCCTCACTATGTTCAAGCAAGCACCGCAAGTCCACATAGTGTGCTATGTCTTTCTCTTTGCGAACACCCTTGTACACGGCAAAATATCCTTCAAACTCCTCCAGCTGCTTGTCCCAAACGGATTCGTGACGATTCCAATAAGTTCCCTTTGCCTTTTCCATTTCTTCCTCAAGCTTTCGTCTCATATCATCTCGATTTTCAAAGCTAAATGACGGTACGTTTCCCATGGTGTGTCATTCTCTTACGGTTCTTTGCCAGCAAAAAAGTCTGGGTGTTGTTGGTGGCTGTACTGTACGACTGTGCGCTGCCTCAGCAGCACGCTGCTGCTGGCTGTTTGCTTCGAAACGGCTCCTCCACGATCGCGCGCGCGCGCGAGGACTGCTTCGGACGAGCCGAGTCTGACAGGCATACAGTACTAGTACGCGGACGGGTACCGGTGCCTACGCTACGCTACCGTACAGTACTGTACTGGACCGGTGCTCGTTCGTTAGGGTAACGGTACGGACCACCAGCAAGCTCATGTGGTACTGTACGATGTACGTGTATCGGCACGTTTTGTTGAGTGTTGAGCTGGTGTGCTGGTGCATAACCTATGGCCTGCAAGTTTCGCCTCCACAAGAAGCACAGGGGTCAAACGTTTCCTTTTTAACAAAAAGCATAGCTACATGCATCGTAGTTTAGCTACAATGGTTTCGTAAAACAAAGTAGTAGTCTAATAGTGCTAGTAGTGGCAGCTTGCGGGCAAGATCCAAGTTGGCGGTGCGTGCCTTGGGGCCTCAACTCGACCCAAGCAGCAGCTTGGTCCAAGAAGGGGCGATCATAGCAAATCGCAAAGCCTGCTTACCAGTATCATACGGTACTGTCAACCACTATCTTCCGTACGAAGAACTGGAAACCAGAGGCTCGAGCGAATTCGAAGTTGCTGGTGCCTTGGGGCTGCTCCCAACTCGAGCTCAGCAGCAGCTTGGCCGAAGAGGGCGCGATAATACAAAGCCTACTTGCCAGTCTATCTTCCCTACGAAGAACTGGAAATCAGAGGCCCCGGCCTTTCGAAATCACGTGAAACCCCTGGATTCACTTACTCGAGTAACGAGCATCCAGCAAGCCTCACTGATTAACTACGGGTAGACAACCGGTACAGGTAAGCCTCACTGGGGTAAGCAAGGCCTGCACGCGGTCCGCTCAGCGAGACCCATTTCACAGCCTGTTCATGGCCAGACCGAGAAGGTTGAATGATAGCGGTATGTTGGGCCTGTTCCCTCCCCGATTTTGATTTTATGAGCAACTTTGTGCTGGGCTCGGTTCGTCACTCGCTCACTCGCTCCAAACACTTTGACCATTATTGAGTCCACAAAGAACAAAGAAACCCTGGAGAAGCTGGAGAACAACCAAATGCAGCGAGGAACAACATTCTGGGTGCAGGAAACAGATAGATACTGACGCCTTGGTCCCAGCGGTTCCCAGCTTCTCAGATTCTTCAGAATTGACGCTTACGCACATCACAATCAACCTTGCGTACTGTGCTTGTGCTGTACATTTATTAGAGTAGCCTGCCCCTTCTGCTGTTCTTTGTGCATGCAAATTCGATTGCTTTGGGTTCTGCCGTCTAAAGATGCTTTAAGGGGCTTACTTGAGATTGAGAAGTGAAAACTGAGGTGGTGCTTTGAAGAATCGGAAGAACAAGCGACAGAAAGTTATACATGTAAAGAACAAGCCGATACCGTACAGAGGGATACCGTACCGTACCGATGCTTCAAAAATTGGGGGACCAGTTTTCTCAATCCGAAATTGCCAAATGCTAAAACATTGGGTCTATTTTAAAATAGTTGTATTCTTTAGAGTATTTCGGAGCAGACTAGCTAGAACCTCATCTTTTGGTTGTTGGTCACTTCCTGGATTGTACCCCCTTTAGAAGTGGGTGCTTGCCATCCCAAGTTGCCATATCTAAATGGCCATATCTCAGCCCAAACTCAACCTTTTTCAAAAAGTTTTGATGGGAATTATATCTACTTTTTGAGAAGCCAGAACTGTCTATTATCTTGAACTATTATCTTCAAGAACTATTATCTTCCATAGGGAAGATAATTGGATTTCTAGAACACCCATATTCTCTAGCTAGAGGTGTGTAGCTTTGGAGCCCAGGGGTATCTACCCGAAATATGGTGGGGCAAATCAATTTTTTATCTTTTTATCTTTTTGCTAATCTTTTTACCTAAATATTCATAATGAAAAGTTTGAATTGTTTCTACATGACCGCACTTTACCAAACGTACGGTACTGAGCGAAGAATCACACCGATCCAGTCCTTCCTTCATACAGAGCGACCCAAGACTTTGACTGGGTCTCATAACTTTTTCAACTCTATTTCAATTCCACAACCCCAAAACAAAAAACACCATGTGCCGACCAGCCACCACCACCACTTCTTCCCCCGCTACCGCTGCTCTTGAGAGCCTAATCAGCAGTAGCAACAAACGCGTGAAGCGCTCCACTATGGATTCGCCCAACGCCTCCTTTACCTTTGACATGTCTGAGCTTTTCAACTTGGCCACCGAAGACGAAAGCCCCTTGGCTTTTCCTTCGATCGAGTTTGGCTTGGATGATGCCTCTGACGATGACGACAAGAGTGTCTCCTCTATCTGTACAAACCTGAGCACCCTGTCTGATTCTTCCTCCCTTGGAAAGCGCAGCCGCACCGGCGGTATGACGCGATCCAAGAAAGCCCGCAGTCTCAACGACTTGATGGGATGAACATATTCTTTTTCACATATTCTCCATGTCTCCCCTTTCCTTTCCGTACCTGTACAATCACGACAGATACTTCCAACTTCCCCTCCCATGGGATGGCGACGCCTCCCTTATTTCTGCTGCATAATCAGCAGATGATGTGGATTCCAGCATCCAGGCTTCCTGTGCTCGCCCAAGAGCTTGCGCGCCCACACAACTAAATGGCACTGTTTATATCCGCCATGTGTGATGGTTGCAGCTCTTGTGCTCGAGATTATTTCGGAACACACATCCGTGCACTATTCAGATTGGACGTGTCCCTGGCTGTCTTGGATCCTTTGTATATATCTTATATCCAACAGCACAGTGCCACGATCAGTTTGAATACGAAGGCTTGGTGGTACCCAATGGACCTCTCTTGAACATATTATATCCTTGGTCCGGGTACTTTCACCAACGCCGCGCACAAGCACCGTTTGTCCTTCGTCGCTTTACATACTACCGACGATTAAGACTAAAGAGGAGTTGTTACTCTTGCATACATTTATATAAGCAACTAATCAATAAAGTCTTGGACAAACAAACAAACGAAACTTCTTAGCACATTAGCAGTATTACATCCCTGATGCCAGCTAGATAGCCAGTTAACCAGAGATATCGCTAGGTAGGACAACCACAACAGATAGCCAGGGCTATCGCTAGCCAGCTAGGACAACCACAACTGAAGGGCCAGACCCTCCGCAAGCCGAATACCTGTAACCAGAGCCCCACCAGCCAGCTAGCAAGCTCATAATAAAGACCTCTTGCCAGTCCCTATCTTCAAGGGAACTACAACCACTGACAGACAAAGAAATTCTCCAACACCAGTGCGGACAGCCAATGTCCCCTCCTTATTAGGGTGTCCAGCCCCTCACAGCAAAGCACAAGGCCATATCGTCAACCGGCAACCGGCACATCCAGTTGAAGGGAACACTACTTTGCCAACAAAGAAGGCACGATACCGCTGGGCAATAACTAGCTAGCTTTGCTGTGTTCTTCGAGGCTACGGCCCCTCCAGCCAAAAGTCCTTCTCTTCGACTTTGCTAGCACTTGGGTTAAACACTGTCTGACCGAGCATGTTGCAGCTCAGCCGTCTGGGCTCAAAGGGCGCTTCTTCGTTTTTGTGCTTCCATTCCTTGATTTCTCCAGGCCCAATTCAAACAGTTCGTTGCTCGCTGAGCGGGTGGATCATTTTGGGCATAGCCGGGCTAAGCCATCTGTTTCCGTCCGTGGTCTCGATCGGTCTCAAGAATGATGCACCTAATGATGTACTTGTACCTTTTGCATGCTGCATCGTTGCCACGAGACTACGCTACTATGCACAGAGTTTGTTTCTAAAGGGCGGTTGCAACTGGCTTGTTCAATGGAAGAATGATGTACCTTGCTTCTGCAATATATAGTAGGAGCCTAGAGCTAGATAGAGTGTAATTCACAGCAAGACATGCAACTTGATGTTGAAGAGCTCTTCGTATGGGGGCCGGCACGAGCGTCCTGAGCGATGCATGGCTGCTCTCTAACAGATATATTGATCCATACATGTTCTTCTGCCTGCCGGCGGCGAACTGGCTGATTGTTTGAATTCAGCCGCATCCTTTCGGCCTATCATTGCAGACCACCCTACTACCAGGACCAAAACCTGCCCCCAGGGCAAACAATGCCTCACCCAATCAATGCAAGTCCTCCATTTGTCGTTCAACAGCACATCCTGACGACCAAACTGATTGGCCATCTAATCACTTCCAAGTCCGCCCAGCCAGGCTCGCCACATCGGCATTCATCAAGACAACCCCAGGTCTGCAACTGACCTATCAGATGGACCTTCACCAAGGCCCACACGTAGTCCAACACCTGGCGACCCAAATCACATGGGCGGAGCCCAACAACAAATGGACCTGCATCTCCAGCCTAAGTCGCTCCCAGCCCCTGTCCAATGCGGCCAAGGACTGTGGCCCAGGCAGACCCAACAGCACATGGACCAGCAAGACATCAAGTACCAACACCAGACACCAGCCACAACACATGGACTGCCTATACTCTCAGCTGGCCCACAGCCATCTGCATGTGGCTGCCCCCCACTGGCATCTCTGCATGGCTGGCCCAGAAAACTGCCCAGCTAGTAGACCAAGCAACTGAGCAGGTGGGAGTGTAGCCTTGGCAAAGGAGCCCACGCTCAAGCTTCATATGCACATCATCCTCACCAGTGTTAGTCAAACTGTTGCTGGTGTTCTACCCATAGCCAGATAGATCCAGGTTACCGGTACTGGTAAAACTGGTACTAATGGTACCGGTAGCAGACCAGCTGCAGGTCTTTGAGATCAGCAGTAAAAGCAGCCAAAGCTGTGAAAAACATCCTGGCCATTGACAACCACTTTGGACCTCCTCTGGCCAGCCAAGAAACCCATTCGCTGAGTTTCTCAAATGGATGTTTCTACGATTGGGAGCATCAAAAGGATTAAATATTCTATCCTCTATTGCACTTTTCTGTTGGCACCTTTGTTCTTAAAAGTGCAAGCTCCCGTAGGATGTCAGTGAAGAAAACAAGTGTCTACCCATGACATCCCCTTGATTGCCCACCCGATTTGCTGGCTGCGCCCAAGCTTGCTGGGCTGGTAGCCATCAAAGAACTGGGTTGACAACCTCAAAGACGACAGCATCACAGAAAATGACGATTGTGGGGAATTTTGACACCGATTGTCCGCGACTTATTCGCTAAAGCATCCTTTTTTGTGGGATTGCGGAGTTTCCTGCGTGTCCTCATTGTAACTATGCTTGCAAAAGATTTAACGGACGTACAAGCACAGGAAGTGCAATAGCTTCCACCACACAGAAACATTTCAGAAAGGCGACATGAAAAACACTCGTATCTCGGGATATACTAATAGTAACCGTGAAGGTATTCTAAGATTCCTACCAGCTAGATCTAGCTAGCAGAGGAGATCTGTTGCTTCCCACTTCCCCACAGCAGCAGTGAAAGATCCGTTGGAAGGGCCTGGCTAGCTGGTACGTACACACAGGTTGTGGAGCCCAGGTTCTAGCAAACTGGCTCACTCGAGTAGGGCCTGGAAACTGACTATCCGGAAATGAGGGAACTGAACTACAGAGAACTGGCCATGCCCGGAGATGACCTACGGTATCATCCTGTTACAGTACAAAGATTCTAGGAGGATCCGGCACCTGGCTGGCAAGCACTTGGATCAGCATCAGAGCTCTCAGCCAGCATCCTTTCCCGGGCCAGGTACGGTAACTCCAAACTGGCTCGTGTGCATGCTTGTGTCACCAAATCAACTGTTTGGATTTCTCCCTCCAGCACCCACTGGCATGTACCCAGACTCAGAAAATCCCTTCACCTAGCTAGCAAACAATGCAAGCCTCCTACCGGGTCCCAGAAGCAAAAGTTCTACCGATCGTTGCGAAATGTGCCTAATAGCTAAACGCAGAAGTGAATTGTAGCATCTATCTTTTGCCGCCGGTACTGCATGTAAGGTCTCTGGAACATCTGTAGCTCACCCTCGCAGAATCTTTTGGAGTTAGATAGATTCAATCTGCGTGTATGTTTCATTGAGCCCAACATCATTCGGAAGAGATCTCTTTCTTATTGTAAAAGAGACCCGGTATCGATCCTTCATTTGGACCCGCCTACTAGAAATAAGTGAAGAGTTATAATGTCCCCGGGACATTGACAAGGGTCTAATTCTTTGTGTGTGTTTCATCCAGCCCCAGGAACAAGAGGAACTGGGAGTCTCGCTTACCTGCGATATTACTGTAGCATGTACTGTACTAGTAAGATGTTTACGCGGCAATTAACCGGGGACACTGCCCGGTCGCGAGTACACTTACTGGGACATGTACGGCCTGGCAAGCACGAGAAAATTTCAGGCAGGCTCGCTCTCAGCCTTTTTACCAGCGATAGTGAGGCGGTTGTGGGCTTTGGGAATGCTGTCAAGAAATGTAGCGGAAGCGAAAGGAAGGGATCGCATCATATCATCAACACCAAGCATAGCTGTCAACGGTACGCCGAAAGAAAACACATACAAATTGTTTGACTCGACTCTGTCGTGTGTGTGTTGCATTGGTTGTATACTATCCGGTGGCACCCATTGGCAAGCAAGCGAAGGGAAGAGATAGAAGAGAGATTTGAATGAGAGAATTTTGAGTTTTTGTTGTTCTCAGATCAGCTTGTGCCGACCATTGACAACGACAGAAAGCGACCCCACCAGTTTTGACGTGGGCAGCAACTCAACGTAACCATCATACTCGTGCTAGTCGTTAACCTGCGGAGTCTGTTGTAGCAATGAACCGCAACAACATCTATAGCAACAACGAGACAAGTGACAACAACCATCCGATGGACGACGCATTGTTGAGTGAAGACGAAGAACGCGAATTCCTGAATGATCTAGAGGGTCCGCCGACTGTCAGTACTTCTTGCGCAGAAGAGCTCTTTGACAGTGTCCTTCCTCCCTTGCACCACGTAACGATTCCCAACGCCAGCAGCCGACGTCGCGCTCATACGGTCGACACGGTCCAACAACAACGCCGCGCTTCCGAGAGTATCATCCACAACCAGAATCAGTTGTTGTTGGAAGATGGCCAAGACGACGACGATAGCACGCTCAGCGTCGATTTGGAAGAGCACAATGACACGTCCTTATTCCGTCGTCCGGATGAGACTACCGCTCCTACGAGTCAACGAACGCTTCGCTTGACGCTATCGCAGGAGAGTCGGTTACAGCGCCGTCAAATGCTGGTCAATTCACGCTGTGTCCGAGGATTCCTGACTCTCTTTGTCTATGGCATTTTGGTACTTCAACCCTCCTTGTTGACGGCCACGGCTCCGGATGCACTCGAACCGCTCGATACTCCAACGACACAGCCCATCAACAACTCTACATACAACAACAAGAAAAAGACGCTAGTCCCACTCGCCAATCTGCCCAAATTCCGACACAAACCACGGACTGCGGGTATGACCAAATACCACAAGACTAATAGCACCGCGGCACACCATACCGCCCCTCCCCAAATTTACCACAAAAAGCAGCGGCCCATTCTCAGTGCAGCCCATTCCTATCAATTCCATCAGGAACCATTGGCGTTTGGCCGAGAGTTGAAAACTTCCTTTGTTGTTGACTCCAGCGACTATTCAAGAGAAGCTCCGTCGCAATTCTTTTGGGGAACCAGTCTCGTTTGGTTGTCGCTATTGTGTCTTATTGTCGACACTTCCTACCGCGAGTGGCAGTATTACCGATGGCATCGGCGTCAGCCCTCCACTTCTTCTTCTTCTCGGCGACAGCATCATCGACGATCGCCCAGCCCAGTTCCCGTGCGACGCCGACAACAGCAACGGCGGAGACCGCAACAACGACCTCGATTTGATTCCTTCTAGCTAGCTAGCTACTATCGAAATGAAACTATTCATAATAACCACGAGGTAGTTATAATATAACCTACAGTACATCCAATTCAATTCATGCATATCATATCTATCATCCAAACGCTGTTCTATCAAGATTACGTTCGTGCCGTTGACAGCGCACTGCAGGGACGGACTAAAACACCAAGGATAGAGTAGAGTAGTTCTACGAGGCAGCTGAGAAAGCCTCCATTGCTCTCTCGGGAACTGAGAAGGGGCCGAGCTACTACATAAGACATCCACGATTTTCAGGCCTGGTTCGTAACGTAGTGCAGCCAACCGTCCAAGGACGTGGGATCATGAGAAGCGCCATGCATGGAGACCTCAGCGGCCGATGGCCCACCAGCTACCGCAGCTAGCTAGTAGATAGCAAGCTAGGAGCCATAGTAGCTCAGTCAGAGGGAGCCGCAAAGCTGCCCACCCAGAAGGATTCGAGTCCTCCCCCGGGTCTCCAAAGAGGTTTCTAGCTAGGAACTTGAACGAACCATCGAGCTACTCCCGGGCGGCCAGCTTGCTAGACGCCGCCTTTTTTCATAGGACCGGTAGCTTCATTGGAGCGAATACAGCCACTCCTGCGCCCACTATCCTGGATTGTTCTTTCCAATCGAGCAGGCAAACCGAGCCATGCATGGGGATGAGCAAACTTGCCCATGGCTCTGTGTTGAATTTGTTAGAGCGTTTTTGCAAAAAATTGTGTGCGCCAAGCCAATCTTTCACTTTGGCTGTTTTTCTCTATTGGATTTGATTGGATTGCATTGGATTAGATTGGATTGCATTGAATTACAGTCTACTATATAAATAACAGTACTATTTGGAATCCAATTCAATCCAATTCAATGCAATCCAATCCAATGCAATCCAATTATTAATAAATTTATCTTCCTACAAAAATACAAATTTCGTCTTTTTAACTGATTTTGGCGAGTCACACTCCATTACAATACAGGGCTATTGCAAGATTTGCCCATCCCCCATGGAAGGGAACAGCAACGAGCATGTACCAGTACACAAGCAAGTCTTGCAAAAAGTTTCCACCGCATGTACTATCCGGAAGGATCACCAAGATCAAGTCATCAAGGTCGCGTCTTGCAAACGAGAAGAGGATACGGTAGCAGGGCAGCTACTAGTACAGTCGTAGCTTTTGCTAGCCAGAAGTGCAAGGCGGTGATTTCTCTTGGAAAGCTAGCTGGCTAGCGGTCTTGGTGGCAACCGGATCTAGCTAGAGGATAGATAGATTCTTTGGCTGGACGCGAAAGCAAAGCTGCTGTGGACTCAAAAGCAAGCTTGAAGCTCCTCAACTGCTGCATCTAACTTAAATTCATGTTCCAGTTTTGCTCTGACTAGCTAGCTAGCATAGCAACTCTGTATTACATGCTCGTGACTCCTGATGGCTGGCTAAATCGTACCGCACCATCGTACCTGGTATGGTACCAATCCGGAGGACAACTCCTCATCGAGCGTTCCAGGATTGCTTTGGCTCCGCATCATTGTTTGCGGGTCCGCATTCCGCAAACGAGCAGCTTATTTGAACGAAGACCGCCCAGGTAGCATTGGCTAGTAAGCCGTCTGAGCGTTTTCTGCACCTGTGAAAACGTAAGCAGAACCGAGTCACAGTCGAGTCCTCGCTGTCAAAGCGTTCCCGCTTCGCAAATAAAGAACAGAACAGCGAGGCTAGTGCCTCAACTAGCATTTATCTAAAGGCAAGAAAAATATAAGATAAAACGTCGGAAAAATATAACTATAACTAAGAGGGACCCGGGCGAATTGAAGACACTAGCTTAACTCGGGCCGCAAAGGCCAATCAAAAACCAGCACCGATCTCTTCTCCAGAAGCTTCGACATGGAAGAAAATTATAGCAGGATGGAGCACAAAGCAAGATAAAAGGGATGATGCTTTCATTTTCAAGTCTCCGTCCTCAGCACAGCCCCAGGTTTCAACAGGGAGATTCCAGATCGTATGCCACCACTTCAGACTCAAAGTTTACCCTCTTCTTGGGACGGGGAGCCTCCCACCATCAGCAACCCCACCACCTGATTCCACATCGAGACCAATCTCTGACACCCTCGGTAACGTAATCGCAGTAGAACAAGCCCACAGCAAAGAAGACTTGAGACTCTGAGAGCGATGGACCAAAGTTTGAAAAAACAACATATGCGCGTCCTTCATCCCTGTTGAGTTTTGCTTTAGCTTTGACCTTTGGATTTACCCCAATTTCTGGGCACATGATGCAGTCTCAGGTGAATGGTTATTCACATTTGACCAACACCCAGAAATCATTTCATCCGGGCATTCTTCAAAGCCACCTGGCTCTCAAGGCCAAAAATTACAAAGACCCTGATCTACCCCTCTCTGAACGGAATCTCTAGATGGGAGAACCATGCCATGGACATTTCTGGGCAGCAAAAATGGGCAGAAATTGCCAAGAACCCAAATTGAAAGGCAAAGGGACTGCAAACATTCCAAAATCGTACAGCGTTCTACTATGCCCTCACACTTAAGGGCGGTTCCTGGAAAATGGTTGCAACGAATTAATAGGTTGCCAGACGGACAAGTAAATAATTTCAAATTCATGGTAAGTATGGTGGCGTGGCAGAGAGAAAACCTTCAGTTCTCGTATGATAGAAGGCGGGCCGAAGTCCGCAATCACCTCTCCATTTTGTTGGTGTGGCCTGCCACCGAGATGAGGTGTAGGGGCCGGTCTTGATTCTTGCCAAGGCTTCTCATGGATGGGAATCGAGATAAGTTGATTTTACTCTTGTTTTCTGTCAAAGCCCTCAGCTTGTCGACCAGCCACTGTACTTGGAATTGCCTAAGTACTATCAACCCAAAGGCTATGAAGGACAGAACTGTGTTTTGAAACTTGGCAAGTCCATCTATGGGCAGACCGGTTCACCTAAATTATTTTATGTGCATCTATGTCGCGGTATTATCCAACTTGGTTTCGAAACCTCGGCAGCAGACCCATTTTTTTTTATTCATAAGGAGCATCAACTCATGGTATTTTAAATTATTGTGATGACCAAATCTGGCTCAGTACAGAAAATGATCTGATTGAGACCTATGTTGGACAGCTCCAAAAC